GCGGATTTGAAAAGAAATTCACTTCGTGACTTGGGGTTCATAATCTTCTGGAGTGTGTGTATCCGTTCTTATTGTATGCCAGTTGTACTCTAGTCTCCTCCACATCGGAAATATATGAGGTGATAAGTGACATTCTATGTTTGGTCAAAATAAAGTTGGAATATAAGTGACATGAGGGAGACTGACTTCAGTTTGGGCCTGGTTATTCCTAAAATTGAAGTGTAAATTTCGTAGATGTGACTTTAGAGACACAACTTTCCTCCCCTTCAAGAGAGTGTAAGCATTGATGCACTGTCAATACCACTTGGCATACACTAAAAAACTTAAAGCTCACTGCCACTGAGTCAATTCCAACTCAGAGCAACACTGTATGGCGGGAGAACCAGCCCTGTGGGTTACTGAAACTGTAACTCTTTTTTTCCCCAACAGTTTTCTTGACACGTAATTTATATATCATGTAATTCAATAGTTCAATCATTCAATCATATCAAGGAGAATTGTACAATCAGCCCACATCAGTTTTTTAGAGGACCCCCCCCTCCTATGGTTAAATCACCTCTAAGATGAATTATGTGATCACAGTTCATTTTAGTGCACCCTCCTCCCTCCCTTCTTCACTATTTACTCCTGAGATCCCCTTTCCCTCCCTGTCATGCACACACATCTGTATTCCCTTTATCCCCTTGTATTAAAACTGTAATTCTTTATGAGAGTAAAAAGCCTTATCTTTCTTCTGAGAAGCACCTGATGGTTTCGAACTGCTCACCTCACACTAGCCCGAAGTGTAACCACTGAGCCACCAGGGCTCCTTCAGACACACATCACTGAAAAGAATGTCATTTTCCACTTGATGGGAGATTATCAGACTGTCTGAGGACACAAGCTCTCAGATATAATTTTTCCTCAAAACTGTGTCTTGATTAGATTATTAAATAATTCAATAATATTAACTTTACTAATGATTCCACACTAGTCTGACAAGTCAGTTCAACCTTCCTTAATTGCTGGTTTTAGAACATATTTGGATCATAGCTCAGGATTTACCAGTGGAAGAGTGTCACTTTTGTTTAAAATTTTTATGACCTAATAACGTATGATATAACGTGAAAAGTTAGAATAATGAAGCCACAGAAAGTTCTAGTGAGACAGAAGGAGACTGAAGCCATACTTTGCATCAGACAGTCCCCTGCATTGGCAATAGCAGCACAACTGAGAGAAGACAGAGCTAAGATTTTTTTTTTTCAATCTCTCCTTATTCTCCATGACTTTATTATAATCCCTCTCTATATACATATTTAACCATACAATTGCACCAATCGAACCCCTAATTAGTGGTGGGGGGCTGGCCTCCCCCCACATATAGGCATACACATCACAGGAAGAGGATTAGCTAGGGGTGTAGACACTATAGGAAGGGGAGGGATTAGGGGTATACATGTGACAAGAAGGGCGGACCCTAGATTCAATATGGCAGCCTAACCTTGGTCTTCCATGAGTAGGCTTGACCTCCCTGAGCTCTCCTTCAAGGAAACAATCTACTACTATCCTTATCAGAAGGGAGTGGGTCCTACTAAGGGTGGGACAGATTATACAGTCTGATTGCTCTAGATGGCTGATAGCCTTTAGGTGAATAACCATGTGTAGTAAGCAGCTAGGTTTGGCATATATTTGGGGGAGACAACTTGGGAGAAATCTTTCTGTATCCCACAAGTATCTGCAGTTAGAGTTCAGGGCTTTCATTCCACAGAGGAAGGGGTTGTCAGGAAAACTGTCCGTCATAAAGATCCGTGCAGAAAAGGCTCATCTCCAGTGCTTCTGTGTTCAGGGTCCGGGAGTTCGCTGCCTTGGTCACGAGCATGTCAAAGATGTCACTGTGCATGTAGAAGAAGATGTAGCCATCTTGACGCCTGGCCTCCCGCACAGTGGTCTCTGGAATCTGAGAGACCCGCAGATCGTCATACTTGAACCAGGCCTGCTTTGCAAAGTCATAGAGGTCACTGATGTAGTGGCCTGACTCTGTGGAGCTCCCGTGGTGGCTGACAGCACTGATGAGCCTGTAGGCATGCTGAGGCTGGTCTGCTGCACCATTGCTCTTGGCTTCCTCTCGGGGCGTCACCGCTTCTAAGTTGTCCTTGTTTCCAGGGTTCTCACCGGATGCCAATGCTCTGGGGGAAGTCCGGCCGTCCTCCTGCAGATGGAGCCCTGTAGCGCTCCTTGGTTTGTCCTCTGAGTGTTCCGGGGTGTCTGACTCCTTGAGGCTTTGGGGACCAGGCTGGTGACAGGCTTCCAACTTTCCAAGTCTTTCAGGAACCACCTGCTGAATGTCCTCATAGCACCTCATCCTGTCACCGGGCTGGAGTCGCTCAACTGCTCTTGGCGATCCTTCTGAGAACTCGATTTCCGTGTCTGTCTCCAAACCTTCTTGTGAGCTGACGGCTCCAGAGGTCCCGTCTTGAGAAACGATCAGGCTTTGAGTTTCTTCCCTTTGGGCCTGACTGTCCGAGAGCAGAGGCCCTCTGCAGTCTTCGCTGCAGTGAGGTGATAAGATTAAATATTTGGGAATGCCAACGGGCTGGGTATCCTTCACCTGCGACTCTGAAGCACTTAACATGTAGCGTTTCAGGTGGACAATCAGGACCCTGGGGAGTCTACTGACATTTTGGATCACAAAGGAATGGCCATGCTTGCACTTCCCACACTTGTACTCAAGTTCCTCGGCTCTGAAGAAGTCCAGAGAGTCTTGGAGAGACCACGCTCCTGGTTGCTCTTGGGACAGGCTGATGGAGAGGTAGTTGCTCAGTTCTGTCTTGCAAACGACCGCACCACAGGCTTTGCAGACGATGGCATGCTGCAACTCCACCTCAAAATTGGCCCTCACAGGACAAGCCAAGCCTCTGGGGGCGGCCTGAGCAGCCAGCACCCGAGGCTCTGGATGTCCATCAGCCGTCTCCCTGACTCCCTGGCCAGTGCTCTTGAGCTTCTCCATGTCCTCCTTCAGCTGATCCAAGCAGTGCCCTAAAAACTCCTGAGCGTCATTCTGAGTGTTGCTGGAGTAGATGTCAGAAACCACAGAAAGGGACCCTTTAACATTCACCAGTAACTCTTTCTTGGTCTCCACATGACATAGATCTTTGAACACAAGCAGCTGGCTCAAGCACAGGATAAAGGCATCCAAGGGAAACATCTCCTACGGGATTCCTTGACAGAGTAAGTCGTCAGCAAACGATGGAACTGCAAACAAAGACTGTAAAGTGGCGTTCATGTAACAGGTGTTCCCCAGATTGGGGAAACCTGGCCCTAATGGCTCTGGGAGAGTCTCCCAAGGGAGCTGGGACTCATTCCACGGGGGCTCATTCTGGGCCCCGCTGGGTTCTGACGGGAGTGCCAAAGGGCTTTGTGCAGAGAGCGTCGTGGGAGCATCGACAGACTCATCTGGACCAGGGTTTCCAGTGGAGGCGCCGTTGAATGAGCCACCTTCTGACTCCATACTCTCTCCTCCTTGTTCTGAACAAAACGCTTTCTTCTTGCTGCTCCCAAGACACTTCGGGCCGTCGCTCTTGAGTCTCTTCCTGGGGACCAGGTTCATCTCTTCCAACCTCTGCTCACCATCGCCTCCGTCCGACGGCTGCATTCTTCCTCTTGTGCCATGTGGGGTTTCAAAGAAGCCTCTTGATTCTGACGTGAATGAAGGTATTTCCCGAGGAGCTGACGTTCCTCTTCTCTTAGGGTCTCATAGCTTTCAGAAGATCACCTCCGTGGAAGTGGAACAGTGAATATTCTGGAAGTCCTTCAACTCCTGTGAGCTGTGGGGTCCAAGGTCAAGGAAGCAGACAGCAGTCTTCCCTGGGGCAAGGCGAGCCGCGTCTGCCCCCAGGCGGCAGGCGGCAGGGTGGGTCACCCACAGTCAGCAGCTCGGGAGCTTAGTGAAGCAGGCCCTGATGCGATGTAGAATGCAAGCCATGCAAGGCAACAGGATCCACCAGCCTCAAGCTCATGCGGTGTGCCTACCAGCAGTGTGCTGGAGCAGGTCTCCAAGGAGCCTCAAGCTCCAGTGACATGTCCATGCTCTGGCCTGGCCCGCAGGTGGTGTAGCTCCGAGGCCAAAGCAGAGACCTAGCTAAAGCAGCAGTACGCGCCCGACATCCTCTGGTCGCCAGAGAGCAAGAGGAAGATTTATTTTTAATATATAAAGTTAGCAGTTCAAACCCACCAATCACTCTAGAGGAAAAAGATGAGATGCTCTGATTTTTTGAAATTATGATTAAATACTTTTATTGGGGGCTCTTACATCTCTTATCACAATCCATACATTCATCCATTATGTCAAGCACATTTGCACATATGCTGCCATCATCATTTTCAAAGCATAACCTAAGAAATCCCATATAGAGTCACTATAAGTCTGAATTTACATGATGCCAGTCAGTTAAACAGAGGTTAAATTTTTTTTGAAAACTTAATACCCTTGTATTTAAAGACATGTTTCAGAAGTACTCCATATGTGTTTTTCTTCTTGTACCATTAATCTTCCGTGAGAAGTTTGTTATTTCAAAATAAAACAATTATTTAATAATAAAACTATTAATTTAACTGGCAAGTTCTATAGCATTTTCTCTCCTGAGGACAAGTAAGACCACTTAAATATCTCTGAAGGAGTGTTTGTTGAAAAGAAACCGAACAGCTGGAATGCTGGGAGTGCTACATTTAGAGCAACAGAATTAATGAGCCTTTGATTATCTTAAAACCCTGTATGTTACAGATATTAAGAGCTATCTATGGCCAAGATTTTTCTACTGAAATAGCTTCATTATTATGGGAACAATTTGTACTACATCAACGTATAGCTCATTAAAGATGCCATACATCAACAGTAGCAAAGAACACATCTTGTATGAAGAATTATTTTCCAGAGCCTCAAACATGATATGTAAATACTTCTAAAGTAAATACGTCTAAAGAAGTAAGGCATTAATAAATTACTGCTTTTACTTTCTTTTCAGGTGGCTTAACAGAATTAATATGCTGACTGCAGGATATGCAGAAAGAGAGAGGATTAAACAAGAACAAGGTAAAGGAATATATATATATTTGCATGATACTTTTTCTTGCCATTATCCTGAAAGATGCAAGAAGTCACCACTATCGCTTGAGAAAAAAAATACGTATACAATTTGTGGCCGTTTTTCTTCAGGGCATTTCATATCCAGGCCATAGGACCTAAGAGGGAAAGTTTTCAAAGTTGAACAGAGAGAGAACTTTGCGAGCAGATAATGTGGAGCCCTCCCCTGTTTGTTGCCCTCTCTTCTTCAATTTCTCTGGGCGGGCTCAAAAAGCCTCTAGTGGTTTGTGGAAGGAACGCTGGCGATACAGTGGATAAAGTGTTTGACTGTTAGCCAACAGGTCAGAGGTTTGAATCAACCTCAGGAGAACGGTAGGACAACCTGCGTTTATGAAGATTGGCAGCCTTAGACATCCTGTGAGTCCATCGCAGAGAGTTTGGTTTGGTTGGTATAAGATTGACCCAAGTCCAAGCCTTGATCCATTTTTGTTTGGGTTTTCTATTCAACAGTCTCGTAGATAAACAAGTACCCTATGGTCTAAAGCATTCACGTGAAGTATTCCTTCTTCAAGTAATGATATAATTTGGATAGAGTCTTCCACTGTTACTGTATAACTCTGTAATCTTGTCCCCCTTGCTTTGGTAGTGACCTCCTTTTTATGAAGCAGTGTGTCAAGTTGCAGACTTGAAATCTTAACAATAGCAAAAGCAATGGTCACCATTTTGAGATGGCTTGGCCTTTCTCAAAGGGGTTTTCTGTATAACCCATATGGGAGCACAAGCAGCTTTTTGAAATGACTTGAGACCACCTAAAGTTAAAAGGATTCAACAGATTGAGGCACTTCTAAACACAGATATATTTGTAGTTGTCTTTCCCGGGAGCCTAGAGCCCATTGGTGGATGGGAAAATTCTGAAATTCTATTTTCTCTCAAACTCAAGAGTCAAACCTCACCCAAACATTTGAAAAACATCTAAAAACTAAGGGCTATCGAGATCTAATCCATAAAGGCAAGTTCTACCCTATCCCTACATGATCTCCATGAGTCAGAATCAACTCGATGGCAGTGAATAGAGCGATCCAAAGGAGCTAGCCAGATCACACAGCTTTTGTTTTCCTGTGAAAGGATGAATAGTACAGATTTTAGGCTTTGTGGACTGGGCAGTCTGTTACAGCTAATCTCCTGTCACAGCATGAAAACAACCAAAAATAATGCATACGTGAATGCACGAGAGTGTGTTCCAATGAAAAATGTTTATAGACACTGAAATTGTAGTTTCATCAAATTTTCCTGGATTGAAAAATGTGAGGGTACGTCAAAATATTGCTACAAAATCATAGAAACTTTTACTAAGGAAAAATACAAAAGTGCGAAGCTACCATTGCTCACCAGATCCTCCATCTAGGTCTGTACGCTTCTGAAGGGGGTGTTTTATTCTCTCTAACCCATTGGGTCTCAACCTTCCTAATGCCGCGACCGTTGAATACAGTTCCTCATGTTGTGGTAACACCCCGGGTCATAAAATTATTTTTGTTGCTACTTCATCACTGTTATTTTGCTACTGTTGTGAATCGGGCAACCCCTGTGAAAGGGTCATTCGACCCCCAAAGGGATTGTGACACACAGGTTGAGAACCGCTGCTCTAACCCTTCCCTCAAGGAACTCTCTACCATATTGCAGTGACAGTTTTGGCAACCTTGAGGACCCCAACTTATATTCCTTTTCGATGTCTTTTGAGTTTTGGAAACAAAAGGAAGTCTGAAGAGGCATGATTGAAGGTGTATGGGGTAGGGGGCAGTAAGGCTTTCCAATGAAATTCTCATAGGACAGCCCCTGCTACCCTCTAAGAAAGAGCATGTGTATTGGCGCAATGGGGAAAATTCCTTGGCACAATTCTCCTGGCCTTTTTCTTACCAATTCAGTTTTCAGTTTTCCTAAAACATCTTCCTAACAAGTGCCTGTGATCATCCTGTGTCCTCCGAGGCCTTTAATAAGATGACCCCATTGAAATCCCAACAAACAATTACCAGCTCTACTGTCATAGGGCTGACTTCTCTACGTTGAATTTAAGTGGCCCAGCAGATCTCTTTAGAAGCTGCTGGTTTGATTGGACCTTTTTTGTTTGTGTTTGACGGCATCCTAATGAGATTAAGACAAGTGTATTGCTGAGGGAACTTGCCTGCAGCCATCCAGACTGTAGGTCACAGAAACACATGTAAACATCTAGTGCATGTATGACTTAACTTTATGTTTCCCTTTTAACGTTTTTCAACCATTTGAAAATGTAAAACCCATTCTTGGCCTACATACACATGGTATTAAAGCAGGAAGAGGGTTGGTTACATGTGGCCCATTCAGCTGTAGTTTGCTGACCCTGTTTTAGGTCCAGGGGTGAAGGAGTTGGAGGAGTGATGTGGAATGAGAAGATAAGGCAGGAAGATTTCACATATAAAACAAACAAACAAGCAAAACCCCCAGCAAAACATGGTTCCTACGGATGGAAATTTATCACCTTGAGGACAGCAAAAAATGCACACTTGAAGTTGCTTAAGAGAACTGAAGAGCAGCATGAAAGTAAATGAATTCTAGCTTTTACACAGTATATATCTGATGCTGAGAGGAACTGGCCTGTTGGACAGATGACTAGTACGCCTGATTTCAAGTTGGTCGTGGAGAGGGGAAGAAAATACTCTATTCCATTTGAAGTGTTTCTGGGGAAGACCCTTGTTCTACTAGACATTCTGATTATGTAATGGTGATCCAGGCACCTATCCTACCTGAAATTATGTTACTTTTAGTATGGCATAGAAAGCACAATGTCATAGAGTTAAAATACAAATCAAGTTTCATTAGAAGTAAGATGCTGGGTAGATTCGCCCCAGAAAGAAATAGGGGAAGATGGTGTTGACTCTATTTTCTGAACTGGTTCTTGCCGGACGGGACAGACGTGACCCAAGGAAATAACATAGGAAAACATTGTTGTGAGTGGGAGCTGCATGAGTAATAAACTTTATTCCCCACCTTGATGCCTCAGTTGAATTTTTTAAATTTGTGCTAAGAAAACACACACATAGACACACAGGAGCCTTGCTTATGAGTTGGGCTGCTCACTGCAAAGTCAGCTGTTCGAAACCACTAGCAACTCGATGGGAGAAAGACAGGACTTTCTACTACAGTAAAGAGCGACATACAAGTTCAGAAACTCACACTGACCATAGCACCACTATGAGTCGGCATCGACTCCACTGCGGTGACTTTCAAGATGCCAAGGTTTAGAAGTATGGACAGTGTACTAATAGGAAAATGAATCATTGAAATCACTCAGATGGCAAGGAAAGGGTTTTCCGACTTCTGTATTTTGCTTTACAGCTGAGTAGGGTCTTCATTTTAGTGAATTTCATTTATACTGCTTGGTGTCATAGAGCCAAGTTTCATCTTGGATGAAAGAACTGGTAAGTTTTCTAGTGCATGCAGGTTTCAAAATATATTCAACCCATGAATTTATGCTGTCCTCTTTCATGTATTCCATTTTTGTGCATGTGGTTTACCCAAGATTTAATGAAGGCGAGATGCAGCCTTCCTAATACACCTGCTGACGGGAATGTGCTAGAAAATCGTAGGCAGAAGCAGATTGCTACAGTCTATGCAACTTCAATTTCTGACATAATTTTGACTACCTCTGAGTGTATGTTCCTTAGGCACTATAACCAAGGACTGCCTTCCCATCTGCATGATTAGGTCACACTAGGTGTGCAGACCAGCTCCACGCTCCGTAGAGTTTTGTGACATCTCTTGTGAGTACCAGTCTCAATGCATAAGTTAAACTTCATAGAAGATACAACTCTGATGGTTGGGAATAATTCCCAAAGGTGTAAAGAAAAGACTGCCAAGCATTTTGATTTAAATACCCAGCACAGCTTAGAGATGACTCAGTCATTGGCTTAAATAAAAGTTGAGTGACTTACTGTCTTTAACTCCAGAAGTGTAAAGGTTATGAGGTTCCATGTCATTATTTTTTAACAAGACATTCTGCCAAATTCACAATTTGGCTAATTATCAGCTAAATCCTTTTTCTATTTTTACCCCCTAGCTACAAGTCAGTCATTCTTAACACATTCTTTTCAATCTGATAAAAGGTCTATATAAAGGTTTAATTATAAAAATTAATATAATACTTAGATTTCTTCATATTTCGTAGTATTTCTGTTATAAATTCAAAATCTATTTTCCTCTCAAATTAGCCTTTGATATCAACACGAAAATGGAAAATATGAATTGTCCCCATACAGTGAGCACATGATTTGTTAAAAAATCCAGAACCACCCAAGAGACATTAAATGCATCCATTTATCTTGTTCTATTTAAAGAACTAAGAAGCATAAATTAATTTTCCCTTAGAATAAAATTCAAACTAGTTTTAGCCTCTGAGCAACATGTGTGCCTTTAATTTTCCACACAAAATGGCTGACTCGATTTTTGTGTGTGACTACTTCTTTATCAGTGCTCTCTCAAAAATACACAGTTTAGTGCAAGGGATGTAGTTAATTTGCAAGTAGTATTTCAACTTTTTCTTAAGATCCTAAGAAAGCTTTAAATTAATGGTGCTTTTCAATAAACTAAACCTTACAGTAAGTAGTGGGCTAGAATTCCTCCTCACTTAACTGAGGTAAAAGACCTTGCTAAAATGGCGATCTCCTCATTAAGGACCACTTGAGATTGTTAGATTTTGAGACACCATCAAGGGCACAGGGGCCACAGCCTCTGGAAACAGAATGGGGACAATATAGGCAGACTTGCTTGTGGCAAGCCTGCTGCTGGGAGCTTGGGGGACATTAATTCCTTTTATGCCAGCAGTGCCTTCCCACCAGTACTTCCGGTTCCCATATATCTATCCAGCCTAGGTTTCAGGAATCTAGAACTTGCTTTTTCGTTGCTGTTACTTGCTGCAAGAGAAACCATACTAGCTACAAAGGTGAACACAAGGCCTTTCTTGCTTAAGTGATCAACATCAGACTGCCCTGGCATGCTGCCTCCAAGTAATACACCTAAGAAAATGAGGAGTCCTGATACTTACTGAGTGTTTTTACGCTGCAAGACACTTGAAGGAAGTTTTTTCTTATTCACTACTACCACGCCACCTCTGTCTCCAGCACATTTGTACGTTGATTGCCATCATCGTTTTCAAAGCATTTTTTTCTACTTGAACCCTTGGTATCAGCTCCTCATTTTTCCCCTCCCTTCCTCTCCTCTCTCATGAACCCTTGATAATTTATAAATTATTATTATATTTTCATGCCTTGCACTGTCTGAGGTCTCCCTTTACCCCCTTGTCTGTTGTCCATCCCCCTGGGAGGGGGTTATAGTAGGTCATTATGATCGGTTCCCCCTTTCTCCCCCCACCTTTCCTTACCCTACTGGTATGGCTACTCTCAATATTGATCCCGAGGAATTTATCTGTCCTGTGTTCCCTGTGTTTCGAGCTCTTATCTGTACCCATGTACATGCTCTGGTCTAGCCAGATTTGTAAGGTACAATTAGGGTCATGATAGTGAGGGGGAGAAAGCATTAAAGAATCAGGAAAGCTGGTTTCATTAGTGCTATAATGCACCCTGACTGGCCTGTCTTCTCCCCATAATCCTTCTGTAAGGGGATGTCCAATTGCTTGCAAATTGGCTTTGGGCCTCCACTCCACACTCCCCCCTCATTCATATTATGATTGTTTGCTCTTAGTCTTTGATGCCTGATATGTGATCCCATCGACACATCATGATCACACAGGCCGGTGTGCTTCTTCCATGTGGGCTTTGTTGTTTTTCAGCTAGATGGAAAAGTAGGTAGTTATTATCTGTTCCTTGTAACGGTGACAAAGCAGACTCAAGAGGTAAAGTAGACTCAAGAGGTAAAGTAGTCGTGCTAAGAGCACTGAGTTGATAAGTGGTGCAGCCATGCATTGACCCAACATCTGTCTGAGTCTTTAGTTCATGCTTTTTCCATGAGTATTTGCTAGGTTCATTTGGGGGTGATTGCGTCCATTTATATTTGAAGTGAGATTTAGTATACTGGCTGCCACCAACATGCTCCAATGTAAGAAATAGACATCAAATTTAGATGAACTTGCTTGCTTATCTTTTACTCAAAGGAGATATCTAATGGGGGTAGGGACTGAAGTCCTAGTGTTTTGAGGCAGGAACATAGCACAAACTTATTTTATATCCCAATATCCATTGCTGAAACATGTCTGTTCACAATAGCCAGATTTTTATATAGCAGTAGGAGAAAGAGGATTAAGTGAGCATGAATTTTGAAGCAAGGGGGCTTCAAAAAGGCTTTGGAAATCCTCCTTTATCATGCATCCCATTTTTCCACAAACTTTATCAAGAGTCCCAGTGACAGTCTTCAAAGCCTTAGGACAAGGTAATTTCTTAGTTCAAACTTGAGCTCTGCTACTCTCTGGCTAGCATCAGTGTTAGCTGTCCCTTCTACTATTAATATTAACCAGAAATACAAAGAGAGGTGTTTCTATAAAATATATGCCATGATTTTTCACCTAATCTCAATGTTAGTTAATACGTGTGATGGTCCTTTTGAGTTTTTTGTTCATTAAAACAGGGAAGATTTTCTTTTAATAACTTTCTTTTCTTAAATCATATGCCATTCATATGGGCAATACTGTGGGGATTTTTCCCTTGTAAAACATATAAAGAATTACCCCCAACAAGTCGTGTGAAAGCAGTTCTGATCATTGGCCTTTATGCTGCATTTGACTTAACTTCAGTAATGTATCTCAGAGTTCTTTCGGTCCTTCGTGCTGGACGTCTGCCAATCACCTTGTCTAGTGGGCTTGTATTTTCTACACTCTTAAGTAGTTCTGGAAGTTTGGAACTTTCAGGTCACATCAGCAGATTTGCCCTTTTGCATTTGGCATGCATCAGGGTTTGCCATGTGTTTCCAAGTAACGGTGGGAGGAATGTGTTATAGAGATTGATGTCAGCGTGACTCTGGAAACAGTGAAGCAAATGTGGAGAATTATTTTTGGAGAGCTGATTATATTTGTGGAGTTCTACAGCAATGCATTTATTGCTTTTCTTTGAGGATTTATCTTTAGGATAAAACAATACAGCTTTAAGAGGCATAATCTGACACTGTCCATTAATTGAAGCTTTAGAATAATTTGACCTGGAAGCTGAAACAACCTATACCTGATTTGGATTATACAGTGTCTTTTTCTTAACCCTCTAAAATTGTGACTGCATATAATTACTTACTTTGAAAAGAAGTGGCAATTAGTTGATTGTACTCTTCCTTCCTCTTCAAAACCCAGTGGAAAATAAAAATTGGTGAGCCTGGGAGAATGGGAGATGTCGGAATGGGAATTTAAATGTCCTTCTGTTAAATGATCGAATTCCTGGCAATATGGTGAGCAACATGTAATGGAATGCTACTGTGTTCTTTTCAGATTACTGGAGCGAGAGTGACAAGGAAGAGGCAGATACTCCATCAACTCCCAAGCAAGACAGCCCACCACCCCCCTATGATACATACCCACGGCCTCCCTCTGTAAGTTGGCAACAAGAGCATCCACCATAGAGAATCCAATTCTTGCAGCAGAAACATCCTTTTGCATATTAAAATGTATGCAATAGGGAAACTAGATAGGAAATGGAAGCTGGATTTAGGTAACATTAGCACTGGAAAAATAACAGTACTGGAAATAGAACAAATGGAAAGCAACTTTTGAAGAGAAGGTTGACTCATTGTGACAAATGGAATTACTGTCACTGAATAATTTATGTGGAGATTGTCAAGTAGGAACCTTAAAAATTCAGTGAAATAAATAAAAAAGAAAACATACAGTAGATTACTTGCCAAACTTCAGTTTCATTGCAAGGAAAGAAAATTGGAGAATAAAAATCAATAAGGAAGAACATTCTAAAGCATATAAGAATTTTTTAGTACGTAAAACTATCACCACAGATTCCAGGCAGAATAAATACCAGACTGGTTTTATTAGGGAAATATATCATTTGTGCCAGAGTACCCTTTATAGAAATATCAACAGGAAAAAAAAGGTTGTTTATTTTTTAAGATATATAAATTGGATATTCTGGATATTCCACACGAATAAGATTCATTCCCGTGTCCTGTAGAAGCAACTCATAAAGATTAATAGCATATGAGAGGACTTCAGAAAGGTAATGGAAATTTGGAACGGAAAAATAATAGAATTTTTCACAAACCGTTTGAAGTCTCTTCATGTCTATATTGAATTTGCTTGAGCATGTAACTTTTGTTTAGCAATAACCTGACGTTTTCTTCTTTTTTATTGATTTTTTACATTTTAATCCTTGATTTTTTATTGATTTTTTGGTCATTTTATTGGGAGCTCTTACATATGTCATAACACTTCATAATTCAAATGGATTGAGCACAATTGTATAATTGCTACTACCATCAGTTTTTAAGCTTTTTTTTTCTAGAACTCTGATATCAGCTCACCATTAACCCCTTCCTTCCCCACCCTTCCCACTAGGAACCCTTACTGTTTTTTATTATATTTATATATATATATATCTTTGACTGTATCTTACCCCATCCAATATATCCATTCACTTAAAGTTCTCTTATGCACTCCCCTCAAGTGGGGTTATACAGTCATCATTGCTATCAGCTCCCCCTTAGACGCCCCTCCTCCCCACTCCCTCTTTCCACATCCTCAGGAAGTCATTACTCCTGTTGCTGTTTCTGAAGGGTCATCCATCCTGGCATTCCTGTCTTGAACAATCTCAATTATGCAAATGAACCTATGTAGAGCTAACAATATTAATGAGGTAAAAAAATAAGCCTTAATAGTGAGGGGAGAAAATAATAAAGAATCAGAGGATAGTTATGTGTTTCATCAGTGCTGTAATGTACCCTGAATTTATCATCCCTTTTGTGTCATGGTTAAGAGATCCTTCTACCAAGAATTTAGCTGATATCATGCCCCATACAGTTTTATCAAGACAGTCAGTCTCCAGTTCACTTCTTGCCCACATTGCCTATTTTGGGCTATGAGAGGGGGGAAATTCAACCAATACCAAAAAGGCAGATAAGGCTTTAAGACTCACAAGCCCCCCCAGATATAAAGGGAAACTGGGACAATCTTACATAGTTACTTTTCTAATGATGAGCATTAAGTTAGGGAGAGGTCTGCTTTAATGTACACATTCTATACTGCTCTGGACTTTCTAAGCCTATGTAAATTATTCTGTGTACAGACAGGACTTTGGTTTATAAATCTGGCAAACTACTGCTTTGGTTTCCTTGGAACTATTCCATATTATGCCCATTTCCCATTGGAATTACCAAAGGGTCTCAGTAGTATTTCGATATTAGACAGTACATGGTATGACATGATCACGCTAACCACAGGGTTGACTTGCCTTTCTTAGGGCTGAGTCTCCTACATAGGAAATGGAAGCTGGGTTGAAATGGCAGTAACAGCCAATCTAACATCCAATCTAACAAGGAAGTTTTAATGAGCAACTGCTAATACAAGATGGTGATATCATTCAAGGCTAATCCTCTACCCTGGCTGTGCATCAGAGTCAACTCTCAAACATTTTAAACATGGAGATGCTCAGACTCAAAACAGTAAATTGGAATATTTGTGACTGACTCAATGGCCTACATTATGAACTCGTTGAGAAAAGAAACCCTGTTCTGTTCATCCGTGCATGCCCATAGGCTAGGACAACACTGGTCCTTATTTATTACTATTATGAAGTGCTTAATAGATATTTCTAAAATAAAAGAATGAGTACTATTGCATAATAATTGAAAGGGGGGGTCACATTTTTTTTTAAAGTTTGATGACAGAGGAGAAGTGCAGGGGGCACTGCAGATTTTCCCCTATCTGTATGTACATTTCTTTAAGGGCACAGGGTACAAGGGCTAAGCTATGGACAGAATACAAGGAAGTTGGTGACAGGATGCATACACAGTTCATTGTATTTTTCCTCATTCCCTAAAACATCTTGATCTAAACAATTCCTTTAAAATATTTATGGAAGCAGAAGTATGGAATACTGCAGCTTCACTAACCAGCCCTATAAACTTATGAATCTCAAAAAGCCTTTACAGTAGTTTAGACCTATAGGAAGGCAACCCACTGCTCATAGGACAGGCCACATACCTTCTCCATCTGTGATGATAATATTGAATCAACCTGGTTCCACCTCCTCCCACACAGGGACCGGGCTAGTCTGCTGGCCCCCAGAACTGGACTAAGGCTTGTTGCCAGAGGAGAAACTGCAAGTATTTTGCAGGGTACACTTGAAGCCAAATCCTTTTTCTCAACTGGTCTTGGTACTCTAACAGATATCCCCAAATTTTAAAATTCCAGGGATAAAAATATTTTGCTTTTCTTTAGTCTTTATGTACCGTGTGGTGTCTCTGCTCAAGGAACCCTGGTGGTGCAGTAATTAAAGTGCTCAGTGGCTAACCCAAAGGTTGGCAGTTCAAACCCACCAGATCCTCTCTGTAGGAGGAAGATGTGACTGGCTGCTTCCATAAAGATTTACAGCCTTGGAAACCTTGTGAGGCAGTTGTACCCTGCCCTATAGATTCTCTCTGACTCAGAATTCAACTGGTCCAGCAATACGTTTAGTTTGGCTTAGTGTCTATGCTTGAGGCAAATGCTAATCCCCATCAAGGTATGATATTAACGTACCTACATTTTTTCCTCCATTGTGATAAATATATATGCAACAAACCGTTTGCCATTTCAGCATTTTGCAAAGCTACAATTCAGTGATATCAATGACATCCATCATATTGTTATGTCACTACTATCCTTTAAAAAATGCCATTGCCCTTAATAGAAGGATAGTGTCCCCTCAGCATTGAGTCCCTCTTTCCCCAGCATTGAGTCCCTCTTTCCCCCTCTCCCTCCCACCCATCATCAGTAATCTCTAATAAACTTTATCTCTGTAGTCTTGCCTCTCTAGGTATTTGTTATGAGTGAGATAAGATATTCTTTGTCCTTTTGTGACTGACTTATTTCGCTCAGCATAATGTCTTCGAGGCCTATCCATATTGTAGCATGTGTTAGAACTCCATTTATTTTTTACCACGCTTGAAAGTGCCTGAGAATTGACAAGAGTATAAGACAGCTTTTCTATGAAGAAGGGTTCTTGTTTGTTTATAAGCATTTCATTTTCATATTCAAATGATTCTCTCTTTGCTCTCATCCCGAGCTACATAAAATCTGGAGGTGCAAATTTAAGGAACCATCTTCAGGATTTCAAATGTATAGAAAATTTTAAAGCAGAGTTTTTCCATTGGTGAATATTTTTGAAGCACCAACATTCTCTTAAACTTTTATTGTTGGGAAAGCTTGTGCTCGTGTGTTAGATCGTTGTCCTGAGAGCCCACTGTAGCTACATTTCAATATCTCCAGGCCTCAGTCTTTTGAAATAGAAGCGCGAGCCTACTTTTTGAGCTACTTGAAAACTTGGATAGTCATTAGTTTTACTAAATATGAATCTGCTACTTGAATATCATCAGGTGACAACCAACCCTATTATTCTTGGTGGCTGAGGTGAGGGGTGCCTGTGTCTAGAAGTGGTCATTCATTTCTGAGGTGACTGATCTGAGGCTCTTGCCATCCTCTCCACAGATGAGTTGTGCCAGTCCTTATGTGGAAGCAAAACACAGCCGGCTTTCCTCCACAGAGACCTCTCAGTCTCAATCTTCCCATGAGGAGTTTCGCCAGGAAGTGACTGGGAGCAGTGCTGTGTCCCCCATACGCAAGACAGCCAGCCAGCGCCGCTCCTGGCAGGACTTAATTGAGACGCCACTGACAAGCTCAGGATTACACTATCTTCAGACTCTGCCCCTGGAGGATTCTGTCTTCTCTGACTCGGCGGCTCTCTCTCCCGAGCACAGGCGGCAGTCCACCCTTCCAACTCAAAAGTGTCACCTGCAGGATCACTATGGGCCATATCCCTTAGCTGAGAGCGAGAGGATGCAAGTGTTAAATGGAAACGGGGGCAAGCCTCGAAGTTTCACTCTGCCTCGAGATAGTGGGTTCAACCACTGCTGTCTGAACGCGTCCCTTAGTGCCTGTGATCCACAGGATGATGTGCAACCAACAGAGGTGGAGGAAGAGGATGAGGAGGAGGAGGAGGAAGGGGAGGCAGCAGGGGAAAACATAGGAGAAAAAAGTAAGTATGTTTACGGAGATTCTTAGCCTGTATACAGAAAGTGTGCACCTTTGTGAACTTATTTTAAGAAAATGGAATTTTGCTTCTTTTTTTCTTAAAATAATGGTCTTGCTACATAAGAACTTCAGTTACTTGTAGAAAAAATGATGAGTAACCAAGCTTATAACCCAGGACACCCACAGCTAGAGCAAGTCATTCTTTCCTCCAACTACCCATTCACTTTGTAAGGTGAGTGGTATTAATTTCTTCTCCTAACTTCTCTTAGCCACTTTCTTCTCCCTTGCATGCATCATTCCTTTGGCCCACAGTGGTTGATCCCAGAATCTAAGTGAAACCATAATTGCTCATAGCAGAGTGTCCGAGAAGCTTTGGCTGAGTAAGTAAATGAAGGCACAACATGCTTGCCTTCCATTTTCAATGGGTCAGCAGATTTAAAGGCAAACTTCAGAAGACAGTTTTCCCAACAAGAAATTCCACATAGCATTCCAGTAAACTCCAAAGCGCTCAACTTGTTTCTGGAAACCAACTTGCCAGAAGCATTATATCTACTCTCTTGGTATGTATGTTGATTGCAAAAGCCACTTTTCACGAATCAATTCTTAAGAGACAAGAGTCAGTTACATTATCCTCTGCATTGTTAGCAGTAAGAATGCTTACTGGTGATTAAGTTCTTTATCCAACATGCCATACCAAGCATCTGTTGATAACTAATGTGATACGCCAGCAAAAAAGCCCAGGCTAGTTGAAGGGGAAAGGTATAATGTAGTTATTTTAGTGTAGAAATAAAATCTAGTTTTGGCTACCAATCCTGAATAAAAAATGGGGGGAAAGGTATAGGTGAAATAGTATAAAACAAAACAAAAAATTTAAAATTAAAAAAAAAGAAAGAGTATAAAACAGTGTGCCTCCCTTTATTCAAAATGAACTCTGGGTCAGCTGACGTGAACCAAGGTTGATGAAACCACATTTACTGGTTAGGTTCCCTAAGGCCTTAGGCTTTACTTTTCTTTTAAGGATACAGGCTGTCTGTATCCTTCAACCGATTTGGCAAGCACATGGGACTTTGATGACAGGACGTGTTAATAGAAGTTTACCCCAACAGGAAAAACAATTCCAAGCTCACAGGGTTACCAACAGGTCAGAAGTCACATGTTGATAGCAACCAGGGCTCATTGAAAATAGGGATCCCTTTGGAGATGATTGGGCAGATATATTAGGTTTCCTCTTATGGCATAACTCCTTATTGCACTATTTAATGTGAACTAAACCATATCTTTCACCAGCAAAATATAAGAGTTGCTTATAATCAAACTCAATTTAATAGTTTCCATGTGAAGTACAAATTACACACCCACAAAAATCATGGCTAAATGGAATCGAAAGATAATGGAACTTTTCCATGAGCTTGTTAAAGCCCCCTTGTGATTCAGCTGTAATCTCCATGTGGAGTGCTATAAACGGTATACCATTTGCTACAGGCAAGGAAATTACCATCCATTACCTGCCAGCCCTTCCCAAAATTCACATTCAGTTGAGATGATATAAGAGGCTTATGAAAAAGAAAGAAAGATAGATAGATAAGACACATTAGGTTTCTTTAGGGGTTCTGGCAAGCATGATAATGCATGTTTACTATTATACTTACACCAAGATTAATTCATGATTTGCTAAGTTTTACCTAAAGATGAGTTACAGACTTCATTTCCACTGTCGTCCTGGTGCTATGCAACAGCTGTATCTGAACATGTGAGGTTTCTTTATTCTACAAACATTGGAGAAAATACTTCATCTCATCCATTTTTAAGTCAATTGTGTTAAAATTGGGCACCGAAATCCAAAATCCACTAAGTCCCTTGTCAAAAATTAGGCACAGCCTTCCAAAATAGAGAATTTTGGTCAGTGAGCATGTCATCATTCCTACCCTTACAAGTCACGGGAGATGGCATTTTTAAAAAGAGGCTAGTTTCCTCCTAGTCGTTGGGGAAGGGAGGGCGAAAAAGGAGAGAGGGTTTCCTAGAATGGGAAAGAAAACATTGCACCCATGCTGACCTTCCTTCTCATCTTTTAGTGCTGCATTGGGCATCTCTAATTAGATAGCTTTGGATAACAGGTTTTTTTCTTCCCTATAGCATCTCTTGACCTTTTCTGTTCTTCTTCAGAGTAGACTTATTTTTAGCCATAGAGATGCATGCTCAACTTGTTTTTTTCCCCTTAAGGTTCCCAAATGAATTAAGTGGGCAGTCATTTAATATTTTCCTTCCCCTCCCCCCACCCCCAGTGAGCTCTCTCTTAGCGGAATAATCTTGATGAAGCCAGTCCATTTGTTATTGCACATTGTGTCCTAATGAGTAAATAACATGGGGCAGGTCATCCTATTCCAGTCATATCTACTTCCCTCCCTGTGGGGGGTGGTGCACCATCTTTCAGGCCCCGTTATCCTCTGGGTATCTGTCCATTAATCTGGCTGCATGTCTCAGTGTACTTCAGGCTATTCTCAGCAGAGCAGGGCCTTTCAGGCTTGCCCAGAAAAATGCTTCTTATTTAATGGACTGTATGTTCACTTTTCTCGTGATGGTGTTTCTGCATTGCTATTTTTAATATTTAGGAGTAGCAATTTGATGAACAGTTCGTTTGGGAAACAGCCTCAAAATTGGTGTTTTCAAAAGAATCCTTAAGTTTTAGGTAAGAGATGGCATGTTCATGATTGCCTTGGATTGGCCATTGAAAGTCAATAGTGCAGGCTGCTTAGCCAATCCAAGTGTTCTGTAAACTGAACATAAGTTATACCAGGAAAGGGGCCTCAGACTTAGGTACATGCCACCTGCCACGGAACACTCTGCGGCTGCATGGTCAAGCAGGCAGTTCATGTTTGCGAAACTCAAAGTCCTTCCCAAGTCAGCAGTTGGTTTGACCCACTAACGGGAATTTGTACTATGCAAGTACAGACCTCTGGCTCACTCTCAGTTTGCCAAGAAATTAAAACTATGAGGCAGTAGGCAGGGGATAGGCAGAAGTAATGGAAGAACACATGAACACAGCGCCAGTCTTCTATCTTAGAGATAAAGAATTATGTCATCAACTAAATTTCTTTCTTAAAATTTATATTAGTCCCTACCTTCATGGAATGTGTGTTGTATAGTGCTTTAGAGCTTCCAAAGAAAGCAAAGAAGCAAGGTGTTCCTCAAGTCTTGACCTAGATGTTTTTCCATTTCTTTGTACATGTGGAATTTGACCCTGCCTATGAAATATAAATGTAGCTTTCTATAAGACAGATTGCGATCTCTAAATTCATAGTTGAACTACCTTTTGTCTTCTTTTGAAAGACAATTGTTTAACTGAGTTATACTGCAATTTTTCCCAGGCTGAACTCGTTTTATTCTAAAATGATGTGACTAAAAGTACACAGATGAGACCTGTCTTGTTTTCCTTTGGCTGAAAAGTCAGCTTGCATATTAATTATCCTGACCTACTTCATTGGCATTTGTGAGAAGACAAGCAATTTCCTATCATCCCAATTAGCAATTTTGAAGCTTATAATACCTCAGTTAAATTAAATGATAAATTATGTCAGTTTATGCAGATTTCAAAGAACGTAGATCGTAAGTGTGGGATGAAGTAGAAAAGCATATTTCATCTAGAAAGCATCTGCCATCACACTAAAATATTGCTTTAGATAATGCATCTCGATGTCTGTTTCAATCTCTCTCTTTCCTTTGCCATACAAGGCAATTTAGACGAGGGTTTCAAAAGAATCATCCCTTAATCCTGATGACTTCCTTCCGGCAGTTTTAGAGGTACTGTTTTCTAGTCATGCATTCTTGGTACTTTCATTTACGCCATGGAGTTATAATCTGCTCTTTTTCGTTGTTTTGGTGATGGCCAAAACTAATTGTAAAGTCGCTTTTTAAAATATCTAGCATTGTTTGCACACCACTGATAGCTGAGAAGCTGTCCAGAATATGCAGCTCATGTGACAATCCTAAATTATCTAACCAGAGAAACTAGCTACCGACGACTGATACCACACAGAAGATGCATTCATCTTAAATCATTTTAAATGACCTAGAGAAATTCCCTGATGATTTTCTAAAAGTCAGGAATATTATTCTACAGGACATGCAGCTATGAGATGTATGTACATGGGGAAGATATTCCCAGAACATGAAATCATGCTGAAAGCGAAACAAGGAACATGGTGAAAACCGAGAACACTATAGCACTTTTCACGGCGATGTTTGTTGTCGAGGCAAATGAGGCACAGACACAAAGAAATTAGAGGAGCATAATCAGTAACAATATGAAAATGTAATTCAGGTCTAAAAGGAATAGATAGAGAAAACCATAAGTAATATGAATAAAAAGACATGCAATCAAGTCAGATAGATGTTTGAGGCAAAATCCCTGGCTGGTTATGTAAGAAGTACATATAATGAAAGTATACGGGAACATCTTTAGAGGTATTTGATCTCCCAATACCCTGTATAATTTTGAAGAAGGAATGTTAGGGAGACATAAAATTCAGAATATTAAATATAGAATCCAGCTATAATTCTGATACTAGTCATAGATTGAGTTTTATCACACCTTCTTGGGTTGGTTGGTTGGTGTTTTGGTTTTTTTCCCTGCTCAAATAATAAAGAAAAGGTATTAACTTACAGGAAGACTGGAGGTGGAGGTGTTCTGGGATCAATTTAGTGAATCTACAATCTCAATTACTTTTTTCCTGTAATGGTCAAAGGCTTTTGTCCTTGATCTCAAGCCTCAAGCAACAGCTCCAGTCATCATTTTCCCTTAAGACAGCATCCATGGAGCCTAAAGCCAGGCTCTCTTTCGTCCTTTGTGTAAATTCAAGGAACACTCCCCCTGGATTCCTCCAGCAGATAACCCCCCACATTCCCTTGGCCCAGGTTGCATGATCACATGACCATGAATAACAGGTGAAGGAAATGGAGTAAGTGTGAATAAAAGAGAGTTGGGTTAGCGTTGAAGCTCCTGAAGGA